ATCATCGGCGGGTAGCCGCGATCCTGTCCATTCATCATCATTCTCTGCTGTTGCTGTGCCTGCAGCATCGCCGCCATGTATTGCTGTTGATACGGATTTCCAGCACCTGCACCGGCGGCGGCCATCATCTCCGGATTCATCGCCGGCATCCCGCCTGCCGGAAAATAGCCCGGCGGAGCCATGCCTTGGGGAAGACCCTGAGCTGCTCCTACTCCATGACCCATAGGTGGAATCAGTCCCATTTGACCAGGATTCATCCCGCCGGGAAAAGCCCGGGATTCCCCCCGCCGGGAAAACCGGCAGGCGGTCGCATCGGTTCGCCTCTAGCGCCGGGAGCTCCGCCTCCGGCGCCGGCGCCTCCGCCGCCCGCGGCGGCTCCCTTTTTCCCGGAATTAGGGTTGGGTTTGTAATTTCCGTTGTTTCCAGTGTTCTTGGAATCCTGTGCCCCGCCTCCGCCGCCAACAGCTACCTTTCCTACATTCTTGGCTCCTCCGACGCCCTGGTTCTGGATTGCGCCGCCCTTCTTCCCGTTCTTAGCATCGTTGTTTCCGTTCATCCCTTTGACCTGCACTGGGATTTCAACACCTCCTTTCTTCCCGTTCTTCTTGTCGGGCAACATCATCACTCCATTGTCAGCGTTGGGCTGAGCAGAACCAGGCTTGAGCTTGATGTTCCGGAAGTCGTCATCAAAATCGGCGTCAAAACCGTCGAACTCGTCGATGTCCTCGTCATCATAGTCGTCGTCGTCATCGTCGTCGTAATCGTCATAATCACTGCAATCTTCACCGACTTCTGGCGGCAGAGCGAACTTCACCGATTTGGGGTCTTTTTGGAAGGGGAACTTCAAATCTTTGAGTTGGGGGATCTTCATGTCTTTTAGCCCTTTCATCTGCGGCATCGGTGCTCCTTGGCCAGTGTGATCTTTTCCTCCACCGCCGGCGGTGGCGCCGGGTTTAGCTGGCTTGCCGTTGTCCTTGTTCGGCTGAGCTTTATGGTTGGGTTTTTGCAGCTGGGTGATGTTGACGCCCTTGGGATGAAGCAGCTCTGCGTGCTTTCCGGCTTTGTGAAGCTTTTTGATTAGCGTGGCCGGATCCACATTGCCGGACACTGTAACTCTCCCCTGCTCTGAATCAATGGCTGTCTCGAAAACCCCTGTGTGAGCGAAAAGATAGAACTTGTTAGCCATTAAAGACGCGCGCGGCCACTGGAATAGCAGTAAAAACTAGCCTTTTGCGTTATAATTGATTTCCATAAAAAATCAGAGCAGCCATTTAAGCAAAAAATAAGAGTTTTAACTTGAACTCTACCTTCAACTTTCTGAAGCAGCTTCTTCACCTTTTGCTTACAGCCATCACAATGTATGTTTACCTTCAGCACACAGGTCTGCAACAAGGAAAAATCACAAAAAAAAAAAGGATTAGAGAAATAGAATCATAGATCAGTGAATTAACAAACGGTGGAGTCTTCATATCATGAACTGCAACAGATCTTGGCGAATACAGTACAGATATGAGATGAGAAATTGCAGATCAGTATGAAGAGAGAGTAAGAGCACCTGTATTTTGAGAAATTTGACTTCATCTTCCTTGTTCATTGTTCACAACAAGCGATTCTTAGCCCAAAATTATAAAATTAGTAGAGATTTCAGATCTGAAGGGAGGAGCAAGAGGCAGTGCAGAAGAAAAGGTAACAAAACACTAATATCCTTTGGAGTTTCCTTGAAACACAGAGAGAGGAATCAAGAGCAGTTTGGATGGAGAAGGATGGAAAGCAAAAGAACGGATTTTTAGTCCTGCTCTGGCTCTCCCAAAGCAAGTAAGAGAGATAGAAGAGTGAGGATTCTAAATCGCAGAGGCAATCTTCATTAGCTGCATCCTTGCCCTTTATTGGTTTTTTTCCCCAATAGTTTGGCTTTTACATGGAAACCCTTCGGGATAAAATATTTGATTATACGATTTCATTCACTGGAAAGAACAAAAAGACCCACAAGTAAAAATGGGTATAAAAATAATAAAGGAAAAAAAACTATAAAGATGTTAAGTGAGCGTTGATCTTGCATAGATTCCTTAATTACATTTAGCAGTCTAAAAAAAAATCAATGTGTGGTGACCTGTTTCACTTCACGTTGGCTAAAACACTGTAAAAATCTGCAAGACATTGAAATTTGCTTTCTAGAAAATTAAAAAAAACAAAAAAATAAAAAACTTACTTTCATTTTTGTCCCAAGACATTGAAATTTGCTTTCTAGAAAATTAAAAAAAAAACAAAAAAAATAAAAAACTTACTTTCATTTTTGTCCCATGGAAAGTACTAATGGCTTCCAATAGTTCCCTCTTCTTTTCTAACTTCTACTCATGTTTTCTTCTCCTATTTTAACTGTTTATTTCATTTTTCTCCAATTTCTCCTACATTCCTATTTTTTTTTATTTTTCTTCAGACTTCTACGAAATCCAACTCCCAATGTCTTAGTCTACTTAGTCTTGTCACAAATTTAAACTCCTCTCCATGTCTCTCATCTCATTTTCGACAGTTTCTCTCAACTCATTATCTGCAGACCTTAATTTATGACTGTGACCCACTAGCCCCAACCACACACCTCATTCGAAGCCATTAATTTGCTTCTCTATTTCTCACCCAATAGGATTTTAATTCAGATTTCTTTGGTATGGATTATATATTTATATTCACATTAATAGAAGATCACATTGAAATCATTGCTTAACCTAGCTCTTCTTCTTCAATTTCTCTTGTTTTATTTATATTTAAATTTGTTGATAGATACTGAAATTATTATCTATATTTAACTGATGTGATTAGGCAAGGAACTTATAGTCAATAGTATGTAGTAACCCAGTTATTCACGTTTAGATGTTTTGTTGGTACAGATTTTAGAAAATGATGTGTACTGTATAAGTGATCATAATATTTTTTTAAGCAGTTCAGATGTGTTGATTTTCAATGGAAGATATAAAAAGCACTTTGTCGAAGACTTAGAGGATACAACGCATTACGGGATAGAAGGAAAATGTTGAGATACGAAGCCCATGTGTGAGAGTGTTAAGTTTGTAGAGTGTTTGTGAGGTATTTGAGTGTGGAACTATTTTTATACATTTAGGACATCATTTAGAGAAGGAAGAAAGATAAATGTTCAAT